GGCGGGGGTGGCCTCGGGTGGGCTTCGCTGTCCCAGGTGCGGGCGAGGCGGCTCCCCGAGCGGCAGGACGAGCAGGGATGCCCTGGCGGCTCCCGAAGCGGTGCTGCCGGCATCCCGCTTGCCCGGCCTGTGGCGGGACCCGGGGTGCTGAGCTTCCCGCGGCTACTTCTGTTCCTCCTCCTTCCCTCCCTGCAGGGACTGGCAGCCTCACAGCCGCGGTGGAAACGGCTTCGGGCCGCAAGGCGCTGGTGGTGGGGAAGCCCAACACGTACATGTTTGATTGCATCGTGGAGCGTTTCGGTGTCGACCCATCCCGCACCCTCATGGTGGGAGACCGTCTGGAGACAGACATCCTCTTCGGCAAGAACTGCGGCCTTGCCACCATTCTCACCCTGACAGGCGTTTCCCGCCTGGAAGAGGCACAGGCCTACATGGCCAGCGACAGCGCCGCTGCCAAGGATCTGGTGCCCAATTACTATGTGGACAGTATTGCAGACTTGATACCGGGCCTGGATGAGTAACAGTTTGTACATGTGAGGGCAGAGGGGTCAGGTTCCCCATCCCAGATCTCCATCTGTTCCCATTTCTCTCTCACTGCCCTATTCCCTCAATTCCTGGTTTCTTCACATGCCAACATCCTTCTTCAGGGGCAAAAGGGGAAAGGGATTGGCAGGAGGGGACAGGTTTCAAGTTGTCTCTGCTGAGAGCTATCCAGGATGGACAGAATCCTTGTCTCCCGTATTTCCAGCTGCCAGCATCTTTGGGAGAGAGCTGGAGGCCTTGAGGCTGGGTGGGGGGGGTCAAATCAGTGTCTGTGTGGCCTCTCCCCCTGCAGAGGTTCAGGACTGGCTGTTTTAGTATTATTTTTTCCCTTGGATAACCAGTGGTGGCCTTTTACTGCTGTCCTTCAACTTGTAACTCTTCTGAGCTGCAACCCTGCAGTCCTTGTGGTAACCCCCTCCTTGCCAGGGGATTGGCTGGCATTGTCACCCACCTGCTGTCTATCAGTGCCAGGGCATGTGGAAGGAGTGTGCCAGAGCTCTGGAATCATGAATGAGAGTATCTCTGCCTCCCACAAGTGACAGAGAGCATTGCCTCTTCTCTCTCCTGTTCCTTAGAGATGTTTCCCCCACTATCCCCCTGCCCCAACCCAGTTAATAACTGTGCCAGTGTCCATCTGAAGGACGGAAGAGACTGGTTTGAGGGTCTTTTTCCTGTGCCAAACAGACAAGCTGTGACTGCACACAGTGGGTCTGCAGTTGTACCTTGTTTTCAAGCACCCTTTCTAAAGGGGCTTGTGAAGGACAGAGGGCTCCTAGACCATGACAACACAGCACTGATGAACTGTATGACTCTCCCTGGTTGCCCCTTCTCAGTTGGATTTTGTCATAGTACAGTGAGAGAAAAGTGCTGATGGGGGTCTGTGCTCCAGCTGCTGGTGTGCAGGTGAGATGGTGATGGTGTTGTCACTGCTGTGAATGTGTCACAGTCCTCAAAACCATTCCTTGCTGCTTTGTCTTTCTACGTTTGGTTTTTTTTTTAATTTCTTGATCTAATTTATCAGAATTATTTATTGTTCAAATATTGTATTATTTGTATAAATTATGCTGACTGGTTGCACCAAGGGGACAGAAGGCAGTGCCTTTGGGCATCCCTTACTGTCCAAGTCCCATGTTGATGTTCTTACACTCACTGTGTCTCTGTATATAATAAAGTGTGAGCATAGGCTGGAAATTACCTCTTTTTTTTTCACTCATGGTCCCACCAGGATGGAACTGCCCTGGGTATCTTTGAGCCCTCACAGGTGAGGACATGGCAGGACCTTTCCTCACTCAAGGGGGTGCTGCTGGGTAGACAAGACATCTGGGTAGTCTGGTGGATAGTGTCTTTGAGCTGCCCTTTGCTCAGAACCGGGGTGGAGGTGGCTGTGGTGTGGGGCATGGGGTCCAGCCAGGTCACTTGGAGCAGTGAGCAGTGCAAGCCCTGCCAGTTGCCTTTGCATTCCACAGCACGGGAGATTCATTGCTGGGGAACTGTGACCTCTTGTGCTGCACCTGAAGGCTGCCCTCTGCTAGCCAGCTGCACCCCAGTGATCTGTGTGGCCCTCCTGGGGTAGGGGTGAGGTGCCATCTCTGTTATGTGCACAGAGCTTGCAGGGGGCTGAGAACTGCACAGGTGAGGTTCTACCATGACCCTTCTTGACTATGCTAAGCTTTAAGGGACAGGGAGGTGGCTGTCACTGTACCCCTGGGGTGACCTTAACCAGACTATAGCTTGCCATGTCCTGGGTTTGTCTGTAGTCCCAGCCCAGAGGGAGAAAACAGATTGGGTAAGAAAAGTTGGAAGTGACTCAAATGTACTTTTTCTCCATTCCTCATACAGGAGCCAATCCTCCCTTTTGTCTGTCAGACCCCTTTAAATGCTGTTGATGGCAACCAAGCATCACATCTCCCGCTTGAGAGATCAGCATTTAACATTCAATAACTGCTCTGTGTAAGGTAGTGCCATGTCAGCTTACATGGGAGAATTGGATGCAACTTATTGTCCCTAGGATAGTTCCAGGTGCCGAGTGCCTTTTCCTTCTTTGTTTTTTTTTGTGTCCAAAACAACCTAGGAAACAGCCTTCCAAAATAAAAGAAGATCCAAAGGGTTTTCTGAAGACTGCCTGTCATCTTAATCAGTCTCCTTTGTATATGCCTGTTTCTCTCTTTTGTCTGTCCCACATCCAATTAGTCCACCAGAGGACTGCAAGTCCCTTAATGAGTACTTGACCAACACTTGCATTAGATTAAATAAAAACAGTTGCATTAGATAGAATTAAGTAGAACAAGTTTGAGACCTCATGTGTCTGCTAACTTGGGTTACCAATCTAGAGATACCCAGACCCTGGTTTATTTGTCAGAGCTCTCAGTTCTTGTATCAGGCTGAAATTTGAAGCGCTGCTGTTGTGACTTTGGGGCCACAGCTGGAAATGCTCAGTACAGCTGCAAATTTCTCAGGCTGAGTTGGTTACGTGTGGGTGTACAGAGGAGTTCTGCGCAGTGAGAACATCCCCAGGACATGCCCCCTTTTTTTCTAGGGTGCTTTGAGGATGAACATTTGTCTGTTCTGTTCTTTCCAGTTCTCCCAGACAGCAGATGGGATGCTGGAGGCTGTAGTCTCCCAGGATGGCACACTGGAAATGAAACAGGAAATCCAGTAGCTGGTCAGTGTTGCAGCCTGAGTTTGAGCCCTCTCCAAAGGTACTTTGGAGTTTGTCCTTTGGATTCCAAATGGTGAGCCTGCACAGTAGGTTTTTTCCATGTGACTGCTGCTGAAAACAGAGCTCAGCAGAGGTAATGGCTGATCCCTGTCCTGTGGCCGTGTAGCTTCTTTTCATCTGGTGAAAAGGTGAGGGCTTTGCTATGAAGCAGAGCTGGACTTGGAGCAGAAGGGTTTATCAGCTCTTCCCTTGGTTCATGATGTAGAGGAGGACATTAGGCAGGAGTGACTTTTGTCCTGTAAACATCAGTGCAGCTGTTCCTGCTCTGAACAGGGATGGAGCAGCACTGTAGGGGTCCATCAGGTCTGCCAGGCTTTGGTTTTGTGTGGCTTCCCCCTGCTACTATCACTCCAGCATGTAATGAATGTGCATGTGAGCAGATCTTGTTAGGAAACTAGACTGAGAGTACCCCTGGGGGTGATGAGCTCCCTGTCCAAGCCTGTCAGACACCCATTCAGCCGCTGACAATACAGGGTCTGTGATCCTCATGGGGTTCAGGCTTCGGTTCCCTCTGGAATAGGTCTGGTAGGGCTGCAGATAACATCTGCTGTTGAAACTGAAAAAAGCGATGGTTCGTGCCTAAGTCAGCTGATTCCTTCTTGTCTAACACAGCATTTCTTCTTGGGTTGAGTGTTTAGGGAAGCAGTGAAGTTGCCAGGGAGGACAGGGCTGTGAAGTGTAGAGCTGTGGCAGCACACAGGAGGGTGGAGCAGATGGGAAGCCCCACTTGGTGTAGTGTAGGAAAAGGTATTTATTTTCTCATCCTCAGAAAATTGCATTGCCTTTTCCTGCCGTGCAACAGAGACAACAGCCAGACAGGTGGCAGTCGTTCCATTACACCAGAGAACTCCTATCCATAAGTGCAGTTACTGTGGCAACCGCTGGCTGGATGATGTCAGCTGCAACCTGCTGAGCATTGCCTGCTCAGGGCAAGGCTTCAGACCCTTAGTTATCTTCGTGCCCTTTCTCTGGACTCCCTCCAGTATGTCTCTGACTCTCTTGTACTAAGGAGCCCAGAACTGGACCCAGTGCTGGATCCCAGGTCCTTTTCTGTCATGCTGCTTTCCAGTTGGGTGGTCCGCTATATCTACTGGCCCCTGGGGTTATTGTTTCCCAAGTGAAGGACTTTGCACTTCTCCTCATTGAATTTCTTGAGGTTCCTGCCATCCCATTTTCCCAGTCTATCAAGGTCACTCTGGATGGGACCACAACCCTCTGGTGTGTCAGCTGCTCCTCCCACTTTTGTCCACCAGCAAACTTGCTGTGGGTACACTCTACTGATGCTTCATCTTGCAGTTCATTAATGAAGATGCTAAACAGAATACCCAGTATTGACCCCTGGAGGACACCCCTAATTACAAGCCTCTAGCTAGACTTTATGCCACTGATCAGCATTCCTTGGGCCCAGCTGTTCACACAGTTTCCTGTCCACTTCACTGTTACCTCAGCCAGCCCATACTTCCATTATCTTCTCTAGGGGAATTTTGTGGAAGGCAATGCCAAAGGCCTTAGTGAAGTCAGGGAATATGTCCACTGCTTTCCTCTCATCAAGCAAGCCAGCCATTTATCATGGGAGATTGTCAAGTTGGTCAAGTGACTGACACTTCAGGAAGACAACAAATGGGCCCAAGGACACGAATCGGTGAGTAGATGCCTTTAACATGAGGAACTAGAGATAATCCTGGCTGGGAAGTTGTTAATGTTCAGCCACATGACATGGTAATAGAACTGGGAGAATTTGGAAGGTGTTGAGACTGGCAGGACAGAGGAGGTTTTCTTTGCATGGGAAAGTGCCTCCAGAGCCAAGAAAGGATCATGATCCTAGGAACTCGCTCGATACTTGCCTGACCTGATGTGAGAGTCCCCCTCTGCCAAGGCAGGCAGCTCTGGCGCCACCCTGTCCTGCAGCAGCTGGAGCAGGGAGGAGGAGGAGAAGGTGATGAGCAGCAGCCTGTTACTGCCTGCCCTGGTGAACCAACCAGCATTTACTCTTCCTCCAGCAGCAGTGTGTGTACAGTCCCTCCTCTGCAGCATAGCTTCCCTCTCCTCACTCCTCACTCAAGGCACCCACAACATAACGTGGGTTTTCAGGTTCCCCTTTGCCATCTCTCTATCATAATCCATTTCTTTTCCTTCCTTACTGCTGCCTCATTTGCTCTCTGGACTCTGGCCCCAGAAAACTCACCTGGCAGCCCAGGAGAATTACGTGGCTTTGCACATCTAGGAACTGTTGCTGTTGGACTCTGCCTTGGAATTGTGTGTGGATAACGTATTGGAAGTGCTCCTAGCAGACAGGCTGTTTTGGTGTTCCTTATACTTCCTGGGAGATGCTGAACTTGAGGGCAATTAAAAACTGTTCAGGCTTCCACCAGCTTTCAGAGTTATACTGGCCTTTGTAGCTTCAGTATGCCACTGCAGCAAAGCGCTGTCAGCTCTGTAAGCCTTCAGCATGGGGACAAGAGAGATGTGATACCAGAAACATTCCCAGATCACAGGGCAGCTGCCTGTGATGATCCAGGTTGTTCTGCCCTGTGATTTATCCTGCTGGATGTGCAGCTCCAGCATCTAGCAGTTTCCAGTCTGTATAGGATATTGCTGAGCACTGAGATGCTCTCTTCATGTGTTGTGGGTGAGAGAAACCTGTCCTTTAAATGGGCACAGTCATCCATCAAGTCACTCAAAAGTCCTGTGCCAGCCTTTCTGTCCTTGCTGAACTTCTAGCCTAGCTTCCACATAAGCTGGACAGAAAGTGGTACCTGGGTAAAATTCATGGCAGGAACTGCTTCCTTACTTGACCTGTTTCAAGCAAAATGAAACAACTCAGATCCCTGTTTCTGTTCATACCGGGTACACTCTGCTGTCATACTACAGCTGCCTGTGTCCAGCTTAGGTAGTTTATCCCTGCAGCATAGCAGCCAGAGTAAACTGAGTCTTTGTGTGTGGGCTGTAGATTAGAGATTTCCCACGTTCTGGGACAACATGGTCGTAGCCCTGGGCAAGGCTTCCTTCATGAATGAGAGCTGTTCCTGACTTGGTGTCCTTCTCTGGCCTAACATTTGGAGGCTTTTGATTCAGCTGGGTTTGGGCAGAGCCTGAGAGTGGCACAGAGCAGTGGCAGTCCCTACTTGAGCACTTGCCAGGGGGTAGACATGTGAAGAATGGCAGTACGCTGCTGTTCAGCACTCGAGTACAGCTAGAAGATCGTGTGCCTGCCACAGTCTTGGTTACCTGGACACTGACACAGCTCATGAGGCAGGGTGGCCATACTCCTCCAGTGGAGAGTGTAGGCTGTGTTTAGGTTGTTCCATGATGCTCACTGCCTTGCAATTCATCACAGTCTCATTAGCTGCCTTCCCACAATTTCAGGGCTGTAAAGACATATGTCACTGAGCAGTCCCATGCTGTATTTGATTCCTATTTGGCCACAAGCAACTCTGAATGCCCTTGAGCCAATATTGCTCTAAATCTGCCTGTTGGTTCAGGCGTTTGAGCTGCTTTCTTGTCAGTAATGTGTTGGGGCAGCCTGGTATTTAAGGATTCTCAGAAGAGCTGCCTACAGTAGTAGTCTTCCTCTTGGTCACTTGTCACTTGCTGACAACCCAGCAGCAGTAGAACGGTCCTTCTAGAGGAGCATATCTGATCCTCAGGTCAGCCCAGGGACTGGGGTGGCTGGTCACAGCAAGCAGCACACGGTCCTGGTTGGCACACCCTTTGAGTCACGGGATCTGAGACCCCACAGTACTGCTTGCTGATGCAATTCAAATCTCTGTCATTACTCCTTTGGGTGTGTTGTAAGTTTTTCCAGGACAGCATGTCCAGCAATTGGACACAAGAAGCATCAGGAAAACCTGTCTGATTCCTGTAGTGAGTTAGAAAGAGATGCATCTACCTGGAAAGGGAGTATGTGAATTACCCTGGGACTTTTTCTGGCAGCATGCCTCCAAACTCAGAACATGGAGGAGTCCTGTCTAATACCCATAATTCCTCCTCTTTTCCTGGCAATGTTCTGCAATGCAGAGAAGTAAGATACCTGCAAAGGATCATCTGTATATGCTCCTTGTCTCTTGAACTTGGATCCTATGCTAGTTGCAATAAGTAAATCAGATAACCCTGGTTGTCTAGGGATCTCACCCTCCCATCCCCTGGACTATGGTTCTTTAGGCTGGAAATAAATCTAGAAGTAGGAGGCTCCTGTATTGTGTTCCCATTATGCTGGCTGGAGTTAATTGATACCAGATTTTTCTTTAATTTCGTAATATTTACATGAAATACTCTCTTTCCTTTTACCTTTCTGTTATCACTACCAGGGACTCCACTGCCTGACTGTTCCTTGTATAACGGTGTGACTTGTGCATCCCTGCCACCACCCAACCCACTCAGACCAGCTGTTACCCTGTCCTTTGGCACACAGCTGGATGATACCTAGGGAACTCAGTGTTGGACATGGTAAGAGACACAAATACATCTGATTAGAAGGAAATGCAGCTGAAATTGCTTTCCAGCAAAACCTTGCTTTCACTGTTGCCTGAGCTTACTGTCTGTCTGTCTGTCTCAGTAGGGGGAAAGGAGTGGGAGGTTCCACATCAGAGTTTCTCCATAGATCTGTAAACCCAACACAAGCTGGTGCTGCAAAAACCGCAGTTATTTTCACATCAGTCTGATGCTCAGCAGCAGGAATGCTTTCATGACAAGAAAGGAGGTTTGCCAGGCAGGGGTGAACAGCTGAAGGTTGAGGAGCAGAATGGGATGGTGTAGGGTGTCATCCCAGCCGATACGAGCAAGCTCACAGAAATACGGGTTGATAAATGGCAGCTGGTTGGGGAAAGAGTGTGAAATCCTGTCCCTTTGCAAAGCTTTCATTCCTCTGAGTTGTTCAACAAGACCCCTTCCCAGGAGATGAAAAGCTGGATTTATACCCACAGACAATTTTGGCTGTACTTCGGGTGTCAGCTTCGTTTACTAGACATTGTTCACACTGCAGGCCCCTAACTACTGCTGGCTCCCTGGGTGCAGCCAGCCACCCTGCAGCTGCAGCTCCCTGCTCCAGAGCTGTTTCTCATCACAGCTCATTCTTACTTCAGCCCACAGCTCCAGTCGGCAGCGGCTTGGTCACGCAAGCATCTCTGCTCATGAGATCTTGGTTGCTGGCAAGGACAAGGCTGTGTCCTGGAGAGCAAATGGCACACAATGTGGCCAACAGCCCTGCTGTCTGCATCCAAGTCACAGATCTCTTTTGTGCATGCTAAATCAGCTCCTTCTGTGCGGGACATATTCTGTCTTACTTCCAGGGGAACATGCCCTCCACCAGTGCTCTATAGTTTAATTGGTATAGATGTACGCGTTCAGTTTGCACATTATTCTCCCTTCAAAAGCTGACTTATGCAGTACTCTTCACTCTCCACTCCTGATGAATGCCAGATACCCTGCTTGCTGCTTTACTCGTTGCTCCATCAGCTGCATCACCACAAGGGTCTCATCTTCTATTTTTCAGAACCATAGCACATTGGTTTTACCTGTCCAAGTCAAAGTGAAAAAGGATGTAATCTGTTCAGGCACTGCTGTAAACCCCTTAGCAGTTTCAGGTACTTAAATCTCTGTGAAAGGAGCAGGATGGGAGAACCATGCACAGCCACCTGCAATCCCTTCTGAGGGGTACAGCAATCCCCAATGCTTGTGCAGTACCCATTTCCAGACTCACATGGAGGACAGTTATTCATCCAGTGGGTGGGCAGCCAGATTTCACAGAATGGAGCCCCTTCTCCTCCACAGCTACGCAGGGCTGGCCATGCAGGGAGAAGGAGAGCACCTGGTACTGTGGTTGCAAGATGCTGGGAAGCTGCACGAATGCAAACTTGATGATGTAATGGCAGCCTTCATCGCAGCTCATTCACTGGTGCCCAGTAGGTTTGCCCTCGAGGGGCAATGCTTTAAGGAGGAGGCCGAAGACACTCAGCCAGGGCAGGGCAGCTGCCACACCAATGAGGTTGCCACCACAGCATGCCCAGCTATCCCAGCCCTGGGAGAGCCAGGGCTGTGGTCACGAGTCCCACAGGCACAGCCAGCAGTGAAGCTGGGCTTGGCACCCTGGTGCAATGCAGAGAGGGAGCTCATTGCACTTCCTTGGGCAGAGCTGAAACCTGCCAGCTGGGCAAAGGCTTGCTGGGGAGCTGGGGCCTGTTGGTGCTTGTCCTGGTTGCAGATGGAGGAGGACAGGGACCTGGTCCACCTGCAGCCAGAGTGGTGTTGAGATGCCACCAGCAGTGGGAGCCAGGGGAGCCACCTGTGCAAGGTGTGGGTGAGAGGCAGGCTTCTGCCCAAGCATCCAGTTTCTCTGTGATAACATCCGGTGTGCCAGCACTCTGCAAAACACACAGTCAAAATTGTTTTGGTGGGTTATGGGAGGGATCCAGAGATGTATGGTAATCCCCCAGGGAGGAGTTGCCTTGAGAAGTCTCAGGATCCCTGTTCTCATCCCAAAACACTGCTTGCTCACCGGCCATCCTCTCTCCCCCTGAGCAGGCCAGCTGACTCTCGCTTGTGCTACATGCTTCAGCCTGCATTGCCATCAACACTGCTGGTGCAGCTGAGATCTGATCTGTGGTGTGACAGTGCTGGATGATTCTCTTTTGCAGATATCATGCTGTTTCTGGAATCATGCACACGCAACCCAGGAGACTGAACAACATTGCATTGAAAAGGAAAGTAGGAAACAAAAGCAGCGCATTTCATGTTTCAGCCTCTTGGAGGGACCAAAGGGCATACTGTCTTTAGAAATACTACAAAAGGCTAAAAGAGATGTATAAGCTCAGCTGTGAATACATGTCCTGCTTTCTGACTTCTCCTGGAATTCACTGTGCCAGGCCAAAAAACCCCAAAGGATGCAAAATTTTCTGAACCATGTGTGAGTCTCCCCTGAAAAAGGGAGAGCACATACCCAGCAAACTAGGCCATCCCACCTCCAGCAGCTCTCAGCCCCTGCCTAGACAGTGCTCGTGGCACACAGGCCAAGAGCCTGCCTTTCTCAGAAAGTGCCCAGCCTCCCCATGGAGAGTATCACTCCAAGCCAACAGTTACCCTCCTGCCTGAAAGAGGGATGGTCAGCTCACAGTATGGCCAAACATATTCCCACTTCTGTATGGAAATAGCAGCCCAGAGCCCAGCATCCCAGTTTCACTCAGAGGTAAAACCATCAGCCTCCCAAGTGAGCTAAGATGCAGCCATGTGCTAGGCATGGCCTAACCTTTCTGCAGAGGGAAAGCAAATTTTACAAAGGGGAAGCGGCTACTTGATGAGGAGCTGGTCAGCATCCAGGGTCAGTCCTTGAGAGAGTTTCCCAGACAGCAGCAGCACACCAGCTTTGGTCAGTCATGCTCTTCACTCACACTGCATGCTTTCAAGAGCTTGAGCCCAACATCTCCGAGGCCGTCCTGAACAAACCTCAGCATCCCTGTGATCCCCAGGAATGGGTATGTGTGTGGAGGGACTGGGTTTTCTCTGTCAGGCCTGCTCTGAGCAGAGCCAGGGATAAGGAGGAGATGGGAATGCAGCAGCAGCAGAGGTCCTGCATGATCCCCATCTCCTGCCCAGCCCATGAGACACATCACAAGGATGTTCAGTCTACACATGAATGGTTCAGTTTACACACAGCTTGTAGTCAGGCTCAGCAGTGGGTGTTTTGGCCAGAGAGATTTCTGGAAGGTGCCAGGTGCTGCCTGTGGTTTCTCTGCCGTGTGTGGGGTCTGTGCAGGGCAGGTGGAAGGAAAAAAGTGGGTAGTGATGAAGCAATGGTGAGCTTGAAGGAAGGCCAACCGAGACATCCTGAGAAACGAAGCAAGTAATAAAATCCCAGAGAAAAACAGCACTCCGCACCCAGCCGGGCCCTCTCCTGAAGCTGCCAAAAAGGCATCCTTGGCTCAGAGGTAAGCAGTCATAAAATGCAGGGAGAGACTTCCCAGGGAGGGAAGGTTTTACCTGTTGAGCAAGTTCATGGGTACCCTCGCCCACCAGCAGGGAGTGTTGAGCACGGAGGGCAGTCATCCCGCTGCAGCACTGCAGGAGAGGGGGAAACAGGGCTCTGTTTCCCCTGTGGCACCCAAGAAAGAGACTGGCTGGGTCATTCTGAGAGGAGACCAGGCCCTAGGGAAGGTGGGGTGGGAGCCTGTGCCAAGTGGGTGGGTTGCCAGCTAGGGAAGACTGAGTGCCTTGGCTGATTTTGACAGGCTGATTGTATTTTTGACCACCCTCCTCAGACCCAAATCTTCATGGCTGGAGAAGCGGTTCTGTCTACTCATAGGGCTGTCCCTCAGCAGCCCTGCCCCACCAGACCTGATGGGTCCTTCTCCCAGCCGCTGTTCTCCCTCCATGGCTCATCCCTGCTCATGGGCACCGGTCCTCATGGACTCGCTCAGCAGGTAAAACATCCCCTGCTCACAAAGCTGAGCTTGCACCCCCAGGGCAGATGAATAAAGCACCACGTGGGGCAAGGCCCTGTTCTGCTCTCTGCTGTTTCTCCTTCCCTTTCCCCCAAATAAAGAGAACACCACAAAGAGAGACAAATGCCTTTGTTTTCCAGGGGAGGACTGTCAGAATGGCATGTCTCCCTGCATCTTGTTAGGGGCTAGATAAGTCAGCAGGAGCCATGGGGAGCTCTGTCACACAGCACAAGTCCTTGCTGACAGTACTATTGTTAAGAAGGGGTGCATTTTGGGAGGGCCGGGGCTTTTGCCCCCTGCTTGTTTCTCTCCAAGAAAGTCACGGCTCATGCCTGTTTGCCCAGGGAGACTTCCCTCCCCAACAGCTCTTATCCTGAACAGACAGCAGCTTGGCATTCACCAAGGGGGTGAATGGGGCTGGCCTCTGTTTCTGGACCTCTCCATGTGCCCCTGGGCTGGCAGGCACTTCATGGGGTGGCAGAACTGAGCTCTAAAGAGCTTGCCTTCTTTTGGGGCTGCCCAGCACCAAGTTCACAGTGCTCCCACCCAACTTCTGCACCCAGCAGTGTCCCTTGGATTGCTCCTACCAGGAGCAATCTCCCTCTGTTCCCAGCAGAGCCAGTGAAGCAAGTCCAGGATGCTCACTCTGCCTGGTATGGGGGACGCCTTGCCCAGAGCTTGGCTTAGGGCTAGGTCTTGCAAAGGTCTTGTCCCACTCGGGGCAAGGTCACACAACAGCAGACCCTGCAGAGACAGAGCTTTCCCTATAAGGTTACCTCCTTATCATGGGCTTGACCTGGGGACTACTCTCATCTCCCATCTTCCCTTTGAATGGGAGGAGGTGGATTATACTACAAACTGAACCTGCCTGACTAAATATAGCCAGTGCAGAAACCAGGAGAACCTCCCTGTTTTTCCTCTGTTTGCTTTGATGGGAATGGAAATAATGAATCCCAGCTGTTGCCTGCTTCTGGAGCAAATGCCTGAGGGCCAGGAAGCCAGTAGCTCTCAGATGTCCACGGTTTTTGAAGATAATCCACCCTGTACAAGGAAACTTTTAGATGGTGCAGTGGCCCTTGGCTTCACGGTGTATCTGGTGAACCTGCTGCGGGCTGAACAGACAGCGTGGACATGCCTCATAGACCAGGTGCCTATGGGGAAGGGAGGGTATATCCAAAAATACCTGGCTGGCTGATGGACCTTCCCTTGCCTTCTATCCTGAGTGAGAAGAGCAGGCTTCGTGCTCATGTGAGCAGCACTTGCCACCAAAGCACTGGCGTGTGGATGCTGCAAGTGAACGTCCATCCCTCTCCTCCCAGCTTCCCGCTGTGATGAGGTGAATCAGAAGTTGATATTACATCTCATCAACCCCTTGCTCAATCTGTGATCCTACTCTCTACCAAAACATCTGTCAACCAGCAGCCCAAGGGCTAAATATGCTTCATAAAATCCTTAAAACTGTCCCACAGAAAAGCTCCCCACCTAAGCATGTGGCCAGGCAGCTGGTTGGCACGTCAAGATTTACGCCTCCAGCAAAAGTCAGGAGTTTGTCAGTGCTCAGCCTCCATGTCCATCACAAGAGCAAGACTACAGTCCTGTAGAACAAAGCCATGTTATTCATCTTGGCACTAAGTGAACCAACATGCTTCCTGCCCTTCTCACAAGTCACCCATTTTTACTGGGACATGAGCTGGTCCTTGGCTTTCTCCTGGAAAAATTACACCATCTTTGTTTGGGAAAGGATGAGGAACCCAAGGAGATTCCGCCCAAGACCACAAGGCAGAAGAGAGGGAGAGCATGTCTGTGCTCCCAGTGTTGGGGGTGTGTGAGCTCGTGCTCCTGACAAATTTGCCTGCATTACCACCCCAGCAGCTGCTGCTGTGAACCTGCCCCAGCTCAGGATCTGTAGGAGGGAACCAAGGAGAACCCCAGTGTGGATCCTATCTCTTGCACAAGGTGTGGACAGTTGACACCTGTACTGGGCTGAGCAGCAAAGGTCAGCTCTTCCCAGGTGCTGCAGGCTGGCAAAGCCCAGCTTGGGTGTTGGTGGGCTGCCTCAGCACCTGCTCTGTGCAAAGGTGCAAAGGAAGCTGGAGAAGCCAGAGGTGAGGGAGAGCAGGCCCTTGTGTGCAACATGATGATGGCTGGATGTTCCTGGGGGCAGCGGTAGAGATGGCTCTGCCAAGGGCTTCTTTGGAAGGATCCACTTGTAAAGACTCCCAAAAGAGCAACACAGCCTCACTACAGCAGTGATGTGTGTGTGAGCACCAGCCTCAAGGGTGTCTGGGCCCCCTTGCAAGGGAGTGGGAACCAGCAGCATGGCAGGGGATGACACATCCCAGTGCTTTCCACAGCCTCCAAACTGTGATAGCATCAGAAAGCACCCTGCACTTTCTCCCCCCAGATAGTGTAAGCCTCAGGGAAATGAGGGTGCCAAGCCCTGCTGAAATACCCTCCCATTTCAGCAGCTGATCCTGGCAGATAACAGACAGCTTAGCAGGTAATTGCTCCAGCTGGTTCTAGGGTGACAGGCAGCAGCTGCCTAACAGAGCTCAGTGCCACCTAAATGTTTGGGGCACGGAGTGAAGGATGGCACATGTTTCTGAAACCCCCAAGGGCATTTTGGGGGACTCAGGGTCCCCAGTCAAGCCATGGAGAACAGTCCCAGGCTGCACCAGCTCTGTCCCTCCCAGAAGGATGCATCCATGCTGGGAATGATGAGCTATGCCACCCACAGGAGCCCAAGGGAGAGCAGCTGCATGTCTGTCCAACCCAATTCTGTTTTCTCCAGCCCTTGCTGTCTGGTGGGGCCCCATTCCCCTTTGGAAAGGCCAAGTTGGTCTTTTGCCTGCCTTGGCTTCTGCTCAGCTGTGCTGATGCCTTGTGGTCGCATGTGCTTTGGAGGCTCTCCAAGCACGAGATGTGCCCCTAATGCTGGCTCGTGGACTGGCTGCAGATGAATGCATTTGCCAAAGTAGATGCAATGGCCCAAGCAGGGTTTGTCTCAGGGAGTAAAACCTGATGTGCTCAGGCTCCCTGCCGGTCTCACCTCCTGAGCATGTCAGCTGCTGTTTCTGACATGTGTGGGGACTAACATCACAGCCCACACCCTAGGTACCACTTCCCATACACACAAAAAAATACCAAATGGGTGTTTTCAGGCTTCTTGGCATTCCTGGCAGCACAGCCTGTTCATGGCAACCCTTTTCTTCGGGACTATCATTCCACACAGGTTTTTACACACATTGCTTGATGAAAAATGGCATGCAGCTGAGTTTCGGTCTCAAGGGTGTTGGAGGAGGACGTGCCTGTGTTCCATGAACATGCTTCTCCTGAGCACTGTTTGTTGGAAGACCTGAAACCAGCATCTGGGTTGCTGCAAC